TTATACACTGAATAAACCTGTCACATAGCCCAAATCTCTTCAACACATGAAACAGAAATTCCCACCCGACTGTATCGTATGCCTTTTCCGCATCAAGCCCAATGAGAACTGTTCCAGTTTTCCCTTTAAGTATCCGGTCAATAGTATGAATGGCCCTTCTGATATTATCGTGTGTTTGTCTGTTACCAATGAAGCCTGTTTGATCCTCCTCTATCAGCGTGGGCATCAATGTACTCAACCTCCTAGCCAAAATCGCGGCAAATAGTTTATAGTCTATATTTAACACGCTAATAGGTCTATAACCTCTGGGGTCAGTTTTATCCTTCCCTGCTTTTGGTATGACAGAGATATACGCCTCCTGCCACGATGGTGGGAGCGCCCCCCCACTCAGAGAGTAATTAAAAGAGGCCTTTAGTAGCGGGATTAAGGGTTCCCTCATCTGCCTATACCTCTCTGGTGGAAATCCATCACATCCTGGGGCTTTAAAAGTCTTGAGTTTTGAGATCCCAATGTTAATCTCTTCTGCTGATATTTCTCTGACGAGTTTTTCATTCTGCTGCTTACCTATAAATGGTAGATCTAGGCTGGATAAGAAATTCTGAATCTTATGCTCATCTGCTTTGTCCGGTTGTGTGTATAGCTCAGTGTAATATTCTTCAAATGCTCTCTGAATTTCTTCAAGTTTATTAGTTATCTTATTTGTTTTTAAATTTCGAACTTTATGAATAGTGTTCTCCTGTTGTTGCCTCCTGAGTCTCCATGATAATAGCCTAGCAGCTTTGGGTCCTGCCTCATACCACCGTTGTCTATTATATTTTAATTTTTTTTTCAATTTCCTCACTTAAAATTTTGTGGATCTCCTGTTTAACCAGCCTCATCTGCTCCAATACCTGGGGGCACCTTGTAACGGTGTGCAATTGTTCCAATTTTCCCAAATTTTCCTGCAAATCTGACAGCTTTTTTGCTCTGACCTTTTTTAGGACTGCACATTTTGCAATAATTTTACCCCTAAGGTATGCCTTAGCCGCATCCCATAAAATCGTAGGATTAACTGTTCCATTGTCATTGAGTTCTAAATATGTTTTTAACTCCTGTCCCATTTCTCTTTTAAACAAGTCATTATTTAACAGACCTGTGTTAAGCCTCCATAAGGTGTTTTTGGGGCTAGCTTTAAACCCAATCTTCATAGTTAGTCCCGAATGATCAGATAAATCTCTTTGTCCTATTATACAATCCTTCACTCTGTGGAGATCTTTACTAAAAGTAAAGAAATAATCAATCCTCGAGTACATATCATGTCTCGCTGAATAAAATGTAAATTTGCGTTCATGTTTGTGTAAATATCTCCATATATCTATAAGCCCCAACTCAGACAACATTGTTTTTACTTGTTTCTCTAATTTAGTTCCCCTCCGGTCTCAGCTAGTTGTATCCCATTTTGGATGGAGAAGTAAATTAAAATCTCCTGCACATATACATGTACCAACACTTTCTGCAGCAATAAGACTGAATATCTCCTTAAAGAACCCTGTACTACTACCAGGGGGTGCATATATATTACACAGCGTGACGTCTTCCTGTTCCATTTTCCCTTTCACCAACACAAATCTTCCCTCTTTATCTTTATGTTCTCCAGTAAACTCAAAACCAACCTTGTTCGGTATCAGAATGGTCACTCCTCTTTTTTTGCCAGATCTATGTGAGGCATAATAGATATTTTTGAATCCCATTCTCTTCCACTTCTCATGTTCTTCCTTTGAGAGATGCGTTTCTTGTAGAAATGCAATATCAATTTTTCCCTTTTTAGCTTTGAAACTATCTTACTCCTCTTAATGGGATTCTTTATACCATTTACATTCAAAGACAATACCTTATAATACCGCATATGTTCTATATATTTCCAACTTATTTTCCTGCACCAACATAACAATACTCCCAGCCCTCAGAACACATAATAAACACACATGAACAAAGACAGAACTTGTCTTAACCAAATAAACCAGGTCTTCCATAAGAGAGGTTTTTTCTCTCCTCTCAGTCTGGGGGAAATGCCACAGTGTGGGGCCCCTCTCGTTCCCTATTTTAAAAGAAAAAGGGAAACTAAAAAAAAAAAAAACATGTGAGTCACCTGCATCGGACCCTCACCACTCTATGATCAAAGGGGTATCGACGTGCCATATTCCATCACGGCCAGGGGAGGAGGCCATCCAACCATATATCCCCCTGTATTGATCAGCAGCCCGGCGCACCTGTTGTTCCGTTGGTCTTATGTTCATCTTAACAGCGAAACGGGGCGGGCGGGGCGCAGGTGTTACTCCTCCGTACCTTCAGCTTTTCCCGTGCGCTCCCGCGTAGATCAGCTGTATTCCCGGTGCGTCGCGGCCCAACCACGCTCGTCGGTAGGATACTGCTGATCATCTCCGCCGTAATGCCTTTGGGCTTTCTTGTGGCCACCGGTCCCACCGTTTATCCGCGTCTTCTTAGATCCGCCGCAGCTTCCTCCGCGTTATTGTATAGGACCATTCCCGAGTCAAAATGAACCCGCATTTTAGCAAGCAGGTTCTGGAACCGGATGGCGTTTTCTTTAAGTACTTTTTTAACCGGGCCATACTCTTTTCTCTTCATTTGTATGTTTTCGGCATAGTCGTGATCAAAGAAAATCCGTTTCTCCTTTATATATACAGGCTTCTTCCATGCAGCGCGTAGGATTTGTTCTTTAATATTGAACTTTAAGAAGCGCACCACCGTTGATCGAGGGGGCGCCCCCGGCGGCGGCCGCACTCCCAGCGCCCGGTGAGCTCTCTCTATCCCTAGGTTCTTCTCGCTGCCCAAGTCCACACCGTCCCCCAACTCCGATATCATCATGCTTTCCACATACCTTAGCATGGAGGTGCCTTCTATGTTCTCAGGGATGCCATATATCCGTATGTTATTACGGCGTGAGTGCCCCTCCAAATCCGTAACCTTCTCTTGGAGCTGCCTCTGGCAGCAGCTGAACAATGGCATCCCTCACTCCAATGTCCCATTTCTCCTTCCCTACCATGTTTCTTTCCATTTCTTCCAGATGTTTCCCCACCTCCTCGATCCTGCTTGTGGCGGCGGTAACCTGTTGATTTATCTCGTGTGTTAACTCGCTCATTTGCAAAGTCAAAGTCAACTTTATTTGTCGATTCTGCCACATGTACAGGACATACGGAGAATAGAAATTGCGTTACTCTCAATCCCTAGATAAATAGCAAATGAACATTTAAATATATTTAAATATAAAAGTGATTAAAAATGCAAGTAAAATAATTAAAAAGTAAAAATTTAAATAAATACAATTTTACATATAACAAGAAAGCTATATAATATACAATATAATGGGTAAGTGACATTGAGTGTAAACCAGGCAGAGTAGTGCAAATAGGCAAATAGTGCAAATGGAGATTTAGTAGTGTACGGTAAGAGAAAGTGTAACAACAAAGTCTTATGAGGTAATGGCAGTCCAATGCTCCACAAAGTGACTGGTAACTGGTGCAGGCCAGTGAGTGAGTCAGAGAGTGTGTGTGTTTGTGTGTGTGTGACAGAGTTCAGTGAGACCGTGGAGGAGAGAGGGGAGAGGGGGCAGAATCGGGAGGGAGTTAAGCTTCCTGACAGCCTGATGGATGAAGCTGTCCTTCAGCCTGCTGGTCCTGGCCTGGAGACTCCGCAGTCTCCTCCCCGACGGCAGCAGCTTGAAGAAGCTTTGCATTGGGTGTGTGGGATCAGCCGCTATGCAAAGGGCTTTTTTAGTGAGACGGGTGCTGTAAATGTCCTGGAGGGAGGGGAGAGAGACACCAATGATCCTCTCTGCAGCTCTCACTATGCGTTGGAGGGTTCTATGACAGGACGCATTGCAGGCTCCAAACCACACAGTGATGCAGCTCGACAGGATGCTCTCGATGGTGCCTCTGTAGAAAGTGTACATGATGGGGGCTGGTGCTCCTGCTCTTCTTAGTTTGCGGAGAAAGAAGAGACGCTGCTGTGATTTCTTGGCCAGTGCTGTGGTGTTGTACGTCCAGGAGAGATCCTCTGTGATGTGCACACCCAAGAACTTGGTGCTGCTCACTCTCTCCACAGACGCTCCGTCAATGGTCAGAGGAGCATGTTGGGTGTGCATTCTCCTGAAGTCCACAACAATCTCCTTCGTCTTCTCCACATTCAGAGAGAGATTGTTGTCAGCACACCACGTGGCCAGGCGTCTCAACTCACTTCTGTAGTCGGTCTCATCCCTGTTGCTAATGAGACCCACCACCGTTGTGTCATCCGCAAACTTGATGAAGAGGTTGGAGCTATATGATGGAGTGCAGTCATGGGTCAGCAGAGTGAAGAGGAGGGGGCTCAGCACACATCCCTGCGGGGCCCCCGTGTTTAAAATGATGGTGCTGGATGTATTTGGGCTTTCATGTCCTCTTTCAAACTTGTTCTCACGAGCGATAGCTCCTTCTTCATCTCTGCCTTAAGGTCTTGCATGCCCTCCGCCACTACTTCACCCACCACTTGTCTGAGAGGGCCTAGCGCTGATGTTGCGGCCTCCGCCGCCATCTTCTCGCCCTCTTGCTCGGAGCGTGTTTCATATGTCTTACTCTCAAGTCGCGTTTCTAAGCTTCGGCCTGGGGCTCGTCCCTTCTTATTTTTATTTCCGCTCATTATTCTTAAAGGGAAAATCGCTTTTAATGAATTATATTCTTGAATTGCGGATTATTTTAGCTATCGATGCAGGAGCTCCTGTTTATGCTGCTACTCTCGCCACCATGACACCGGAAGTCCATGTGTGAATAATTTTAAGGACATTCTTGTGAGTTTATTGTATATGTTTTCTCTTGTTTCCAAAAACAATGGTAAATGGTAAATGGCCTGCATTTGTATAGCGCTTTTCTAGTCCCTAAGGACCCCAAAGCGCTTCACACTACATTCAGTCATTCACCCATTCACACACACATTCATTGTGTGCATGTTTCTTGTTTGCTCCTTGTCAGGGCCGCGTTGAAGTGGAGATTGGCAAAGAGGGGCTGAAATTTGAAAATGGAGCATTTACATACTATGGCGTGTCTGCTTTGACGCTGCCATCTTCAGGTGAGTTTACAAAACACAGAATTGCTTCACAATGCAGGGACAATTCACCCGAAGACTGATCATACAGATTTCTGGGCATTTAAATGCATCATCATGTTTGTTAAGATTGTGTATACTTCATGAATTAAAATTAAAAGCCATATTTAAAAAGTTAAGATTACAGTGTAGTTTTAACACTCAAAAATAAAACTATTTACAAATTTTATTAAATTGTTTTAAGTAAGATAAACAGGGCAATTTCACAGCATTCCTGTAGAATACTAAAACTATTACATATACAGTAATGTACTTTACATTATATTAATGCATTTCAAAGCGCGCGTGTCACTCCGAATGGCCTGGAAAATTGTGTATTAAGCACTGAGAATCCTGATAATTATTTAGAGATATTGTATTCAAGAGTTTCATTTCACCACTAGACTTCCAGCTGTAAGTAAGAATATGTCTTATTATTTTCATTATTTTTCTTGGTAAATAAAATCCACAAATCATCTCCACAATTTTAAAAGCCTGAAGTGACATCTTTCATGTCACATTTTTGTCTGACCCCTAAAACATTTTACAACCTACAGAAAATACTGCAAATAAAATCACACTGAGCTGCTGGAGCAGTTAAATGTTGTTTTTGCATACATAGTAGACAACAGATATTAATAAATCACGTTAGGGCTAGGTTTATATGCTAAGTCATAAAAAATAAGAAAACAAATTGAGCAGGATAAATTAAAATCAGCCAACATGTCCTGTTTTACATGCATGGAAGTTTTAAAGAAGTTCTTGGAGTTTATATTTATGCCTGGAATTTAACCCCATAGCATTCATTTTCATATCAGCTAGGTTATAAAAGACTTCATGCATATAATGGTCATTTTAGGTATTCCCTTTAGGTTTGACCACATAGTATTATAATTATAACAATGTTTCTGTTTTAATCTAGTAAATGACCTTATTGCTCATTTTAAATGATTTATATTTTTGTTTGATAAATGAATAAAATAATTGCCTAATTTTAAATAAAGGCTGATAAATTCTTAGTCCTTGAATAAGCCATAGACTTGTATGCTCAGTGACATTGTTCTTTCAGTTGAATCAGGACCTTCCAAATATGGGAAGAGATTTTGAGCAGGAGTGACTCAAAACATTAATGGAGCCAATATGTAACATTTACAGTATCTGTAGCATGTTAGTTAAATCCTAGTTGAAGACATTAGAAATAGCAATTTAAAGGCACCTAACAAAAATTATGTGAATTACAGTTTAAAGCTAAACTAGTTGGCTGTAAGTGGGACCAAATTTTGTTACCTTTTTATTATTTACCTCTCATTTTATTTATACCAAGATTAAAACCTTAACTGTGATTTAAGTACATTAAAATTACATTATTTAATGGTCACTAAACCACGTAAATTTCCAATCATAAGCTACTGTTTCAAGTTAGCAGTTTTCTCTTAATAATTCTCTCCATAGCAAGGTTTGAAGAAATTAGATTTAAACTTTATCATATAAACTTACATATTAGTTAATTGATTTTTTACACATTCTTCATAATAATTATAATACTTGTTCCAAGGGTTTGTCAGTCGCTTCAGTCACACCTCAAAATTTTATCTTCAAACCAGTTAAGCATACAATAAGCTAAAAGTAATGATTTCTACTAAATCATAATGCTGTGTTTCAGTGTGTTTTCATAACAATGAGTTGGTGACAATAAGAAGACAAAAGAGCTCAAATTTGCAATGCTCCAGATAATGTGCAGGCTGTGTGTATGATTGTGCAATTTCAGTGCACCAGTCTCCGGTGTCAACTCAGCGTCACTCTCCCAGGGATCCTTTTGAGTCAGCAGAAGCCACAAGCCCGTCCAGCTATTGCCCCGACTACACCGTCCGAGCTCTCACGGACCTCCAGCTCATACGAGTTTGTATATGTGTCTTTTCTCTTGGAAAGTATTCATCCATAACAAAGACTATTCGTAAGCATTAAAAAGTTTTAATTTAATCTGTATTGGTTAGTAAAGCGTATCATAGACAACAAACTGATAATACAGTTACAGAAATATAAAGAATATAACAGTTTGACAGAGCCTACAATAATACAGAGAAAACCCCAACAATCAGATAATCCCGATGAGCAAGCTTTTGGTGACAGTGGGAATCCAGCCCTAACTAAATCATGCATTCATTACTTCTATGCTCGACAGCGTTGGGCAAGTTACTTTGAAAAAGTAATTAATTATAGTTACTAGTTACTACTTCAAAAAAGTAACCGAGTTAGTAATTGAGTTACAAGATTATAAAAGTAATTAATTACTTGCAAAGTAACTATTGCGTTACTTTTAAAAAAAAAAGTTTAACCCACTGGGGTCCAGGGTATAATTGGCCATTTTTAACTACTTTTGATTTCCCCTCTACAGTTCACCTAAAAACTATTTACTTGCCTTGTTTAGTATCATCCTTTTTAGCACAACCTCACATGTCTGAATTTACAGTTATGTTTTTATTTTGATATACTGTATTAACACAATTGATCTAAAATCAGACAAAACATAAAATCCGAGTAGAAAAAGTTATGTTTTACTGTAACAACCACAAACATGTTTATTGAATCATATTTCATAACTTTAAATGCAATTATAAATTGTCAATTTTAAAATCATATGCAAAAGTTTTGCAAACAACAAAGTTATTTGCAGCCGTTTACCTTTTACCCCCTTTTTTTAAATAACCATTTCAAACTATTTACAGAACAATCAGCTGTTCTGCATTCAATAAGATGCCACACAAATTATTTGTGCCACTCCAAAAAAATTATTTCTAAGGTGACTACTGTCTCCAGGTAGAACCTGGAGACAGCAGTCACCTCATTGTTCTGACACACAACACAATACTATCCACAACACCTAACTACACAAGACAACACATTAACTACAGACTCCAAATATGCTGAACGTCACAAATCTCTCACATCTCAAAACTCGCTCTCTCTCTCTTTTTCTGAGAGTGCTTGCTAGCGCTGTCCTTAGACATTAAACGTGACAAAACTATTGAGGAAAAAACGCCATGAATTTATTGTTTATCATGACTCTGGTTTTACGTGGTCTATCAACACAATTTAAAAACTGGTATATATCACCTTGTTGGTTTGTCATCTTGAAGTGGTCATGTTATTGGCTTACCACGACTACTTTATTCTTCCTCAGTCAAACAGCAGCACTCAAGCGATTGTTTTGCCCCCTTAGCTACAGGTGTTGTGCCAAAAAGTGATCGTTGGGCAGAAAGTGATTGCCGTCCGCGCAGCTGCTAAAAGCTGTAGCGCCCAGATTACTTACAGTTACTTCCGTGCAACTGATAAAAGATGTGGTAAGCTGAAGACAGCATCTGTTTGTTGAAAAATAGTAAGGCGACCGCACCGCATTTTCTTGTTAGTAATGGTAACCGCGTTGTAACGATAGAAATGGTAATTAGTTAGATTACTCGCTACTGGAAAAAAGTAACGCCGTTAGTAACTTGGTTACTATTATCCCATTATCGGTTACTTGTAATGCCGTTATTCCCATCACTGATGCTTGACTACTGTAATTCATGATTATGAGGTTGTCCTAAAAACTCCCTAAAAACCTTTCATTTTATCCAAAACCCTGCAGCGACATTACTAACTTGTGTGTACGTGTGTTTTGCAGGTGACACGTCTACAGTATCTCAACGCTCTCATGGCGTCACGCGCTGGCCAGAGTCCAGATCCACCTGAGATCAAGATTTTGCCGAACAGTCAGACCAAGCTGCTCAATGACAGAAACACCACGCAAGGTAGCTTTGTTCAAAATGATGTCTGACTTGCCGGGTGTGCTGCCCCATCGACTACAAAGCTTTGTTTTCCAGACGCCTTTTGTAAACGTTTATAGGAATGTGCATTCCTTTTTGCCTTCAGCTGAACTAAATTAATTTTTTCTCTTTCTCTTTCTTTTCCCTCCTTGCGCGCCTCCATGTGTCCTCTCTGCTCTGGCCTGTCCAGAGTTCCCTGTAAACTTTTCATTCTTTGATACCATTGAGAACTACTGTTAACACTTTTGTTTTGTTGCATGAGGTAAATGAAATGCAGCCTGTCACTGACTGTGTCCATTTCTGGTTTCTGGAACCATCTCACTTCTCCCAGTTTTACTGTAGTTAGCTGAGTCTCTTTGAATCTGCATGGCTGTTCTACTGAATTGATGCCCTTCACAAAGCTAATGACAGGAATCTGGGTGTATATAAAAACATAGGCGACAAATGGTGATGAATTGTGTCCTCTGGCATCCAAAATGTAGGTCTACACTTTACAATAGAGAACTTAGGTGAAAACTGTTTGTTTTAACCTGATATATTTCCCAATAATGTGCCTTTATGGATAATGCCCACTGTGTCCTCTCAGTTCAATTAACTTCAATTCAATTTTATTTTATACTTTCAGTTCACAACGTCTGATGTACGTGAGTACTGTCAGGTAATGACTGTGATGTTAGAGAGCTTCAGTAATTCAGCAGTCCACTATAAGCAAAGCACTCAGTCATGGTGGGGAGGAACAGTATCCTTTTTAATAGGAAAAGACATGTGAGAACCAGGTTCTCCAGGTCAGTTAGGTTCTATGTAAGCGATTTCTTGATTCAACTGCTCAGTTAGCAATCCTGCCTAGGTGTTAAAGTGGAGCTTTCTAATTTGGCTAAACATGAAAGGCATGAGTTCTAGCACAGTACCATGTGGAACTCCACGACTGGTTAATGTGTGGAAGGAACACACCTTGTTTACATGAACAAATTGGATGAGATAAATATAACTCAGACTGCCACAGTGAACCATCTTCATTGTACAGATTCCAGAAAAAGAAGAATCGCTCAGAACGGATTATACTGACATCAAAAGCACCCTGCAGCTGCAGATTGCTGTTTCAAATCACAGCTCTAGAAATGGGGAATATATCAGAGTTAAATAAAGCAAAATTATTCTTTGAGAATAATATTAAACCCCTCCCCCCAAAAAGGCTTATATTTTCAAAAAAAAGGTTAAAAGGTACAATATATGTTAGACTGTAAATTTGAAACTGCATAAAATAAAATAAAAAGAAAAGAACTAAAAAGATCAATATTATGTGATAAATTAACAGCTCTAACCTCATGTCAATCCCATATTGTGTTTCAGAGATATCTCTCCTAATTGAGCATGTTAGCCAGCTAGCATTTGGATGTTTCCTTTGTGTCTTGGTGTGGAATAAAAACTCTGTGGAGCCTCCAATATGATCTCTGTCCAACATGAGAGGAACTTGTAGATCTGTCCAGAAACAGTACTGTGCAAATATTTCAGGCAGGTGTGAAAAAATGCTGTAAACAGAGAATTTAGAAAATTCTACACAAATAGGGATGCAGCTGCTTCAGGATAGCAATTCAATGCACCTTCAAAACAGCAGGTACACTAGGTACACTTGCACACAGTTTTTGAAGGAACTCTGCTAGTAGGTTGTTCCAAACATCTTGGAGAACTAACCACATATCTTCTCTGGATGTCTGTTTCCTCAGATCCTTCTGTCTCTTCATGTAATCCTAACACGCTTGATGATGTTGAGATGCTGAAGATGGTTCTTAATGACTTTGTCTGTATGTTTGGGGTCGTTGTCCTGCTGCAGAATAAATTTGGGGCCAATTATATGCCTACCTGATGGTATTGCATGATGGATAAGTATCTGACTGTGTTTTTCAGCACTAAGAACACCATTAATCCTTACCAAATCTCTAACTCCATTTGCAGAAATGCAGCCCTAAACCTTCAACCAACATCCATGATGCTTCACTGTTGCGTGCAGACAATAATTATTGTACCACTCTCCAGCCCTTTGACGAACAAGCTGCCTTCTGCTACAGCCAAATATTTAAAATTTTGACTCATAGGTCAAAAGTCTAGAGCATGTGCTGCCATTTTTCTGCACCCCATTTCCTATGTTTCCGTGCATAATTGAGTCGCTTGGCCTTGCAGCCAAAAAGCCATACCTCCAACTTGGAAACAACTCTTCCATGAAGACCACTTCTGGCCGGACCTGGGTGGGTGTACCTGGGTCCCACTGGTTTATGTCAGTTCTGAGCTGAAGGCACTGCTGAACATCTTCCAATTTCGAAGAGTAATAAGCTTGATGTGTCTTTTATCTGCTGCACTGTTTCCTTGGCCAACTACTGAGTCTACAATCCTCAACGTTGCCCGTTTCTTTGTGCTTCTTCAAAAGAGCTTGAACAGCACATCTTGAAACCCCAGTTTGCTTTGAAATCTTTGTCTGGGAGAAACCTTGCTGGTGCAAGGTCTTGTGGTTCTGCTCAATATTGCCATGACATGAAACGGTCTTTCACAACCTCACCTTGGTAGCAGAGATTGGCTGTTCCATATAATAATTGCTGATGGTTTGAAGGCAAAAGGTGGTAATACCAAATATTGATTTGATTTAGATTTTTATTTTGTTCTCTCACTTTGTTTATTTTTATCAATTTACAAAATACAATCATTATTCATATTTCTGAAAGCATTCTTTACAGCATTTTTTTTCACACCTGGCTAAAACTTTTGCAGAGTACTGTGTTTTTCTTTTAAACAGTCATGGTTCTGACTTCTCTGTGAGCCAGCCATGTAAAAACAAAACACATGGGCAGTAAATGAAACTGAGGTGACATGGCCACGTTGATTGGCATTACTGATGTCGTTGGCTGATATATTTAATGTATTATCACATCAGTTTTGTGATGGCTTAAGAAGTCTGTGTACCCCTGGCACAAGGATGGAAAAATAATCACCTGGGGAAAAAAACCCAAATATCATTAGCAGCTATTGATCATTGGTATTGCTATTGTAAAATTGGTATCTAACGCACAGTCGCTGGAGACTACAGCATGACCAAAATTATTTTTGCAGCCTTGTGTAATTAACTAGAAATTTCATTGCTTTTGAAATGGTTGCTTTAACAATGGGGACCAGGTGTGTAGCCACTCGCAGTCAGTTACCATCTTCAGAGCGACTTTGGTGCCCCAAAATGGTGATAAAGCAACAACAGAGACTCGACAACTCGACCTTGTAAACTTGATAACAGATTGTTGGACAACAATTTCAAATCTTTTACCATCATACATACACAGAATTAACTCATTACATTTATAGACTGGTCACAATCTCATAGATCTTAAACTGAAGTTCAAAAACTTCTGCACAAATAGGGATGCAGCTGCTGCAGGACAGCCATTTAATGCAGTTACCTGGTAACCACTGATTTGCTTATTGCTTCATTTGTTTTTGGTTTCCATCCTGTTTTTGCTCCAGTGTGACTGAGTCATCCGTGAAACCGTGACCACAGTCATTTAAAGTTTTTATTAGAAAGGAGGCAAAACATAACAACGGGAGAAAATGTGTTAGTCTATTATTAGCAAAAATTAATTTCAAACTTAACGGAGACCCGTCATATGCCTATTGGAGGACTTGTTACATCACCATAAGTGTACTAAAAAAGACAAAAGATGGCACTAAAGTGATGACAAAGTCTGTGCTCCTGAGAAAAGCTGTACTTGAAAATATTTTTGAGTTGAATGTCATCATTTTGGCCCATGATATATCTCCAAAATGAATACAGCATACAAACTATTGTTAGTTATTTTATGTAAAATATAATACAGAGGGAAAGCGTGAGTGTATTTATAGACAAAGAACAACTCTTTCCTAATCACTGGCTTTTCTTCATCAATCGTGCTATCTTTCATGTCTTGAGGCAGACTATTGTTTCCTATTTTTATTCCCCTGCCATCATCTTTTAATCCCCTCTTCATATTACTGTAACACCCCACCCACCCCCACCTTAAACCCCCTGAGTGGGTTTACATAAGTGTGATGATGTGACTCCTTACTCATCCTAGCTCTCCTGTCATTGGTCAGATTCCACAGGTGGCACCAGAGCCCAGAAGAGCTCCCCAGAAGATGAGGCTCACGGGTAGTGCAGTTTCTGTCAGCCTGTTGTTTGGGGGGGAAGCCCTCCTCCAACCAAGTAGAGATTGGTTTTGTTTTTTTATATCATTGTTTGTAATTATTGATAAATCATCTATGGCTGGAACCTAGTTATTGGACAAGACTGGAGTGGAAGTGCTTTTTGTCTTTTATGTACATCTACTGTTCACACTGTTCATTTCCACCCACATTCCTTTATGTGCTTACTATTGGAATTATTATTTTATGCAATTTTTAATAACTTTGGACTATGTGTGTGCATGTTTATGTATATACAAATAAAAATGTGGTATAGCAGGAAAAAGTATATGGATCCTTTGGAATGACCTTGTTTCTATTGGGATTCATTATAAAGTGTCATCTGATCATCTTCTTTGCCAGAAGCGCAATGTGCTTCAATCAGCAATACAAAACTGTGTGTCTGAAAGAAGAGCTTCCTGTAGCTGCAGGTCAAACTTGCACTGAATTACGGAAAACTCTTTCCCTGCATTTTTTTTGTTGTTGTTATTTTAAAAACTGGGCTGATACAAAATGCAAATATCTCCAAAGGGTTCCATTGCTGTTTCTTGCCCTTGAGTATACATTTTAATCTGGTGGTGCCTTACTTCCAGATTGAGCCTTCTGTACTAAACTTGTTTTGCCATTCCTTACTTGCGTGTGTGTGTGTGTGCGTGCGTGCGTGCGTGCGTCCCTTTGAGACATTAAAAACACTCGATAGTGGGTTCTAAGCAGATTTGCACCTTACATTTGTGCACTGTGGAAGATGTTAAACTATTTGGTGAGATGCGAGGTACGTCCGAATTTTTTCAATTCATTTAACATTGATGCCATACTCTGTGTGTGTGTGTGTGTGTGTGTGTGTGCGCGTGCGTGCGTCTTTGATCTTTCAGTCGCTCATGGATGGTTTTCTAGGGTCTGGTTCTACTACCATAGACCTTGGATCTGTAGCAAAGATTTCTTGAAGCTTGACTGATTTTTCACAAATTCTGGATATAATGTTTTGTCAGGGTAGAAAACATGGCTAAAACAGCACCGGCCTTTTGAAAGAATTCTAGAAACATTTTGTTCAGTATAGGGGTTAACAGTGTAGACCTGTAGAGCTCAGGTGCTGTTGATTGTTACTATATACATAGAAGTGACTGACCTTTCTGCTAGTTTATCCCGTTGTTCTCTTTTTTTTCCCCCCAAACTGGCAAGTCAAATTGAAACATGCCTTACTGTGAGACAAAATACAGTGTGGTTTCTCCAAAAAAAAAAAGAATATAAGGACAGAACTATAATTCAATATGAAACTGAGGATGAAAAGATGCAAAAGGATTTCCAAATTGACGTCACAAGCTGATAAACTGTTATTTGACATATCTTTTATTACTTCACATCACACATTCACCATAAAGACTCTGACATGATGGAATGGAGATTTGATAGTCTAAGAGAGGGAATTTTATTTGGCACCCCACAGTTAGACATCTTACAGTGTTACTGTTTAAAGGGACCTTAACACAAGACTAAACACCTGTTAGTGTTAATAATGTTTGAGACCTTTGTCGACATCAAGATTAGAGTGCACTGATTTCTATAGCCTTTCTGCTGTGATTGGTTATTATGCCTTCAGGCATGTGTGATTGAGTATGTGTGATAAATTCAGAGAAAAGGACTATAGAAATTCAACCAATATAGAGGTCCTTGCATGACGTCTAGCAAAAGGCCAACAGCACACCTAACAGGGGTTCTTTTTTCCCGACAAATTCTGATTGGTCGAAGAATTGGCTTTTACAGAAAGACTGCCACTACAGACTTTACCATAAAGGGGAAGAAATCCAGAAAGTATCAAAGCTAAAAAAAAATACTAATGAGATGCATAGACATTTATATGAACAAATTATATATATCCAAATATAGACAATTTTGAGGGGTTTTTTTTAGGTTGTTATTTTTTCCCCACTCAGTCTCTAAACAAAACTCCAGACTCGTGGTTTGTACTTGTACTTTGACTTTTGATACTTTGTACTTCTGCTCCAAACTTTAGGTTGCAGCTTTTTAAGTCTCACCTACTTAGCTGCTATTACCAGGCCAAGGAGGTGAGACTATGTTGTTATCTTTTGCATCTCTGCAGGCTTAATTCAGAAACATTGAGTACTGAAAGAGCTAGAGATTTTTGTTGAATTCTTTTTAAAGATTGGTGTAACTTATGTGACCATACAATGCCTTTAGATAAACAAAAACATCCATCATGTCTAAAAGGACCTGTGGAAACACCAGTTGGAACAATAGACCGTATAGATGATATGGAATTGAGACAGATCACATTACTACCTTGTCAATCACTCTAACATTTTGACTCTAATGGAGACCGTAATTTCTTTTTATAGGACTTGAAACCATAAAAGGAGACCATAAAGTCATCAGGAAAAGCAAGATTTAATATAAAGTTGTGCAATCAGATCTGTGACACAGAAATGGGACATGTTTCTATTGTTGCTGTTCCTAGTGTTCCTTAAGTAAGTTCTAATATACATGCTGTGATGCTTCTACGAGTAGGTCTGCTTTTCATAAGTCATGTAAACTTAAGACTTATGAAAAGCAGACCTACTTAAACTTAAGAGCATACAGTAAGCAGCACAGCACAGAGCACTGTGGTTAAGTAGAGGGTCTGCTCCCTGCACTGTTCCCAGTGTGTCGTCTAATCCTTGCAACTGGAAATCAGATTGGCACTGAAAGGGTGAATGTGGTGAAATGTTGTTTCTAATATTGTTTAACTGCAGTTGCCCTGTAGTTAAACAAGATTAGATTGAACAAATCCCAAGCATTTGTTTGTGCTTCAGAAGCACCTTTAAGAACCTTATTTCCCACCTCTTTGAATTATGATGGCATTCCTGTGTGTGTGTGTGTGTGTGTGTGTGTGTGTGTGTGTGTGTGTGTGTGTGTCCCCGTATGAGTTCAACGCAGTATGTCACCTGTAGACCATGAAAAACATCCAGTCTGCACTGTAGTATTCATTATCCAGTATGCTGACAGTCTAAAATACATTTGAAATGTCTGTCAGTCATTGTTGCATGTGTGTAAACATGTGAGAAAGGTCAGAAGTGGCTTCTAAATAATCCCTGTGTTGATGATAAAATATTAATGATAACAAGGAAGGACAGGAAGAGTCAGTCTTATAATGGAAAGCTTTCACTGCATAATTAAATAAATGGAACTAGATGAAACAAAGCAGTGGGATATAAAACAACATCTTATTCTTCATTGTAGGACCTATTATCTCATTCATAGAGGAAATTAACTCAAAGGGAGCAAATACAGTTTTGTGAGGTGATGGAAAGTGAATTGGCAATGGCCAAACTTATGAGGTGAATTGTCAGAAAATCAAAATGAATCAGTGAAAGCACAAACGGGTACAGGTTCATCTTATGTTTATATGACAATCACAGTTGAGATGAAAGAGTTCCAAAAAGGCCCAGCAATCTTTAGTTTGGGAATGGCTGCTATATTGTATAAGGTAGATTTTAAAATCTAAATCTAACCCTTAAAGGATAATTCTAGTTAATTTCAACCTAGCTTACATCCCAGTAATTTGGCTCAATGGCTCATGCTAACTTTACCTTGTCAACTCCATTGTAGAGGTGGCAGTGTGAGAAGTTGCACAAGAAGTCAGCAAAGTTGTTTCTTTACATTGTGTTGATGACTATAACCGATTTTTAGAAACTGTTTTAAATTACAGACATTTAACTCATTTTAAATGTCTCCTTTCAATTTTTCAGATGCACGGGTGCCAACTTAACCTGAGAATTCATGGCCCATTAAGCCATTTCAATAGGAAACACACCATGTTAATCATTACATAATCAACCTAGTGTATTTCCCACATTGGTGTGCAGGGTTGCTTAGGAGTCGGCGCTGTCAGCTGTGACACAGTGTGTTTCTTTGTGTTTCAGATCCATGTATGTTAGATTCAGTCTGTGCACATGTATGCGTTATTATTCAAGTGTATTGCCATATTCCAGCAGAATCCCAGATTCCCTGATAATGGGATTGTGAGTAAATATTTTTTTCAGCAGTTTGCTCATTTTTTGTTCTAAAAAAGTTGATTTCTATCAAAAGATTGAATGTAAAAAGATAATCCTGATTTTGTGCGACTTGGGCAGTTTGCTGATGTTAAGAATGATGTATTACTAAATGACTACTTGGAGTATAAATCTAGGAAATATTTTATAGGTAATCAGTCTTAGTTTCCAGGTACAATACTGTTACCAGACGAGTTATTGAGAATTAAATAGTTCTCGCTCTCTCTCGCTCGCTCGCTCACTCTGTTACATTTGTATAGAACTTCTAAAGTTATTTTTGATGGTTTGTTTTTTCTGGAATGCTGCCAGTATTGGGTATATTGGGACTCCATTGAATTTAACACTTTCAATAATTTCTTAAGAAATAAAGTCAATCCTGTTCTGAACATGTTAATTATGATTGCTTTTTCTTTTCATACGCAGCATATGACATGACGTGAGATCGCTGACATGAGGTTTTTATACTGACATAGTGCGAATAAAGATCAAATAAAGCAGTTTGCTTGAAACAACAACTTGGAACCTGAACACAACATTCCCCCAACATTTTCAGTTTCTAGTGTGGTGTTGTCAACACCAGCCTAAACATGCCTGACGGTGTTCTCTGGATGAATCCCGTACTCTACCTGAATCTTGGCCAGAGCTCAATGTTTTACTGTAGTTAAACAGAAGATGGCAGCATCTGTGTTGTAATGAGCGGAATTTTAGCAAGAGACAAGTGTATCAATCTGTCAGAAATATATGCAGACACCAGTATATGTTAGGGCAGCTAAAGGAAGCAGAATTGGATAAGCAGAAGACGAATGGAGGGAGGGAGCTGTGTAATGAGATGCATGCAGGTGATAAGAATCAAAGACATTGAGGCAAGTAAAACTGAAGGCAAGATACTGGAGACAGGTATCTACTAAAATAAAATAGGAAGCGAGAAGCAATAGCTAAACAGGAAATGAGACAAGAATTTAAGGGGAATTGACAGATGAGAAAGGGCCAAGAAACTGAGGGAACAAACTAAACTGAAACATAATTCGTGAAAGGAAATTAAGTTGAAAAGATAAACACAAAGAAAACTAAGAATTAAACATATTATTCAGTAAGCAAGACATGAGAGCACAAAACCTCAAAATGCTGGGTCAAAGACCTCTGATCATCACACTCCTTTCTGGCTGAAAAATGTAAAATATTATTATTACTTATTATTGTTAATACTTATCCAATTTTTATATATTTAGCATATATATATATATATATAAAAAAAACACCCAGCACGCCCCTGCGGGCGGTTTATCCTTCAAGCTCGGGTCCTCTACCAGAGGCCTGGGAGCTTGAGGGTCCTGCGCAGTATCTTAGCTGTTCCCAGGACTGCGCTCTTCTGGACAGAGATCTCCGATGTTATTCCCGGGATCTGCTGGAGCCACTCGCCTAGCTTGGGAGTCACCGCACCTAGTGCTCCGATTACCACGGGGACCACCGTTACCTTCACCCTCCACATCCTCTCGAGCTCTTCTCTGAGCCCTTGGTATTTCTCCAGCTTCTCGTGTTCCTTCTTCCTGATATTGCTGTCATTCGGAACCGCTACATCGATCACTACGGCCGTCTTCTTCTGTTTGTCTACCACCACTATGTCCGGTTGGTTAGCCACCACCATTTTGTCCGTCTGTATCTGGAAGTCCCACAGGATCTTAGCTCGGTCATTCTCCACCACCCTTGGGGGCATCTCCCATTTTGACCTCGGGACTTCCAGGTTGTACTCAGCACAGATGTTCCTGTACACTATGCCGGCCACTTGGTTATGGCGTTCCATGTATGCCTTGCCTGCTAGCATCTTGCACCCTGCTGTTATGTGCTGGATTGTCTCTGGGGCATCTTTACACAGCCTGCACCTGGGGTCTTGCCTGGTGTGATAGACCCCAGCCTCTATGGATCTTGTGCTCAGAGCTTGTTCTTGTGCTGCCATGATTAGTGCCTCTGTGCTGTCTTTCAGTCCAGCTTTGTCCAGCCACTGGTAGGATTCTGGATATCAGCCACCTCCTCTATCTGCCGGTGGTACATACCGTGCAGGGGCCTGTCCTTCCATGATGGTTCCTCGTCTCCATCCTCTTTCTTGGGTTTCTGCTGCCTGAGGTATTCACTGAGCACTCGGTCAGTTGGGCCATCTTCCCAATGTATTCTTGGATGTTCCTTGTCTCATCCTGGACTGTGGTGCTGACACTCACCAGTCCCCGGCCCCCTTCCTTCCGCTTAGCGTACAGCCTCAGGGTGCTGGACTTGGGGTGAAACCCTCCATGCATGGTAAGGAGCTTTCTTGTCTTTATGTCAGTGGCTTCTATCTCCTCCTTTGGCCAGCTTATTACCCCAGCAGGGTACCTGATCACGGGCAGGGCGTATGTGTTGATGGCCCGGATCTTGTTCTTACCATTCAGCTGACTCCTCAGGACTTGCCTGACCCTCTGCAGGTACTTGGTGGTTGCAGCCTTTCTAGCGGCCTCTTCATGGTTCCCATTTGCCTGCGGGATCCCCAGGTACTTGTAACTGTCTTCTATGTCTGCAATGTTGCCTTCTGGTAGTTCAATCCCCTCAGTTCTGACTACCTTCCCTCTCTTTGTTACCATCCGACTACACTTCTCCAGTCCAAACGACATTCCAATGTCATTGCTGTATAGCCTGGTAGTGTGGATCAGTGAATCGATGTCTCGTTCACTCTTGGCATACAGCTTGATGTCATCCATGTACAGGAGGTGGCTGACAACTTCTCCGTTCCGTAGTCGGTATCCGTAGCCAGTCTTGTTAATGATCTCACTGAGGGGGTTCAGGCCTATGCAGAACAGCAGTGGGGACAGAGCATCTCCTTGGTAGATCCCACACTTGATGGTAACTTGTGCTATGGGCTTGGAGTTGGCCTCTAGTGTTGTACGCCACATCCCCATTGAGTTCCTGATGAAAGCTCTTAGGGTCCCATTGATCTTGTACAATTCTCGGCATTCCAGTATCCAGCTGTGGGGCATTGAGTCATAGGCCTTCTTGTAATCAATCCAGGCAGTGCACAGGTTGGTCAGTCTGGTCTTGCAGTCTCGGCTGATTGTTCTGTCTACCAGTAGCTGGTGTTTTGCACCTCTGGTATTCTTGCCAATTCCTTTCTGTGTCCCGCTCATGTATTGACCCATGTGCCTGTTCATCTTAGCCGATATGATGCCTGACAGGAGCTTCCATGTAGTACTGAGGCAGGTTATTGGTCGGTAGTTGGAGGGGACCGGTCCCTTCTTGGGGTCCTTGGGGATCAGGACCGTCCGGCCTTCAGTTAGCCATTCCGGGTGTCTCTCGTTAACTAGCAGCTGGTTCATTTGTGCTGCCAGACGCTCGTGGAGTGCAGTCAGCTTCTTCAGCCAGTAGGCGTGAACCATGTCGGGCCCTGGTGCTGTCCAACTCTTCATACTGGAGACCCTTTCTTGGATATCTGCCACTGTGATGGTTACTGGACCCTGTTCAGGGAGGTCGCTGTGGTCTGCCCTCAGATCCTCTAGCCACTGAGCATTGCCGTTATGGGTTGCATCCTTCTCCCATATGCTCTTCCAGTATTGCTCCGTCTCCAGCCTTGGTGGTGCTGTTCTCTTATTGTTCCCTTGCCACTGAGAGTACACCTTTGCTGGTTCTGTGGAGAACAGCTGGTTTATTCTCCTGCCTTCTATCTCTCTGGTGTACCTCCTCAAGCGGCTGGCCAAGGCTGTGAGTCTTTGCTTGGCAGTTTCCAAGGCCTCAGGTATGGACAGCTTGCTGTATTTCTTAGGCACCTTATTTGTCGCACCTTTCTGCAACTCCGTTAGTTGGCTAACCTCCCTCCGTGCTACTTTGATCTTGCCCTCTAGCCTCCTTCTCCATGGAGGGTACTGCCCCTTGTGGCTGTTCAACTTGTAGCCAAGCATCTCACTGATCACTGCTGCCGTATTGTAGATCAGCTTGTTAGTGTCGGTAATCGTGGTTGTAGGTATTGCCCGTAGGTCTGTCCAGCGTCCTCCCCCGCCACCTGATCCAACTCACCACCAGGTGGTGATCAGTTGACAGCTCAGCCCCTCTCTTTACCCGAGTGTCCAGAACATATGGTCGCAGGTCTGCTGATACGATTACAAAATCGATCATCGACCTACGGCCTAGAGCGTCCTGGTGCCACGTGCACTTATGGACACTCTTATGTTCGAACAGGGTGTTCGTTATGGCCAAACTGTGGTTAGCACAGAAGTCCAATAACAGAGCACCGCTCGGGTTCAGATCAGGGAGGCCGTTCCTCCCAATCACGCCCCTCCAGGTCTCGCTGTCGTTACCCACGTGAGCATTGAAGTCTCCCAGCAGGACAACAGAGTCTCCAGGTGGAGCACCCTCCAGCACCCCCCCCAGGGACTCTAAGAAGGCTGGGTACTCTGAACTGCCACTCGGCGCATAAGCGCAGATGACAGTCAGGACCCGTTCCCCGACCCTAAGGCGCAGGGAACAAACCCTCTCGTCCACCGGGAAAAACCCCAACGTACCAGCAGCAAGCTGAGGGGATATTAGGATACCCACCCCAGCCCGCCGCCTCTCACCAGGGGCAACTCTGTTTTCCCTCCTTGTAAATCTCACATTTGATGATGGACCACAGGTTCTCAATGGGGTTCAGATCAGGTGAACAAGGAGGCCATGTCATTAGTATTTCTTCTTTTATACCCTTTCTTGCCAGCCATGCTGTGGAGTACTTGGACGCGTGTGATGGAGCATTGTCCTGCATGAAAATCATGTTTTTCTTGAAGGATGCAGACTTCTTCCTGTACCACTGCTTGAAGAAGGTGTCTTCCAGAAACTGGCAGTAGGACTGGGAGTTGAGCTTGACTCCATCCTCAACCCGAAAAGGCCCCACTCATTTCATCAGTCCATAAAACCTTAGAAAAACCAGTCTTGAGATATTTCTTGGCCCAGTCTTGACGTTTCAGCTTGTGTGTCTTGTTCAGTGGTGGTCGTCTTTCAGCCTTTCTTACCTTGGCCATGTCTCTGAGTATTGCACACCTTGTGCTTTTGGGCACTCCAGTGATGTTGCAGCTCTGAAATATGGCCAAACTGGTGGCAAGTGGCATCTTGGCAGCTGCACGCTTGACTTTTCTCAGTTCATGGGCAGTTATTTTGTGCCTTGGTTTTTCCACACGCTTCTTGCGACCCTGTTGACTATTTTGAATGAAACGCTTGATTGTTCGATGATCACGCTTCAGAAGCTTTGCAATTTTGAGACTGCTGCATCCCTCTGCAGGATATCTCACTATTTTTGACTTTTCCGTTCCTGTCAAGTCCTTCTTTTGACCTATTTTGCCAAAGGAAAGGACGTTGCCTAATAATTATGCACACCTGATATAGGGTGTTGATGTCATTAGACCACAC